TAGCCGATTTAAGGGGGGTTATGGTGTTTGGCCTTAATAAGGGGGCATGATAAAAGGGGTGTCATAGTGTTTGGCCTTTGTAAGGGGGTCGATACAGTGTCGGAGGTATTCGCATTAATTTTTTTAAGCTTGTGGTTAGTCCGTAGTAACGAGATATAAGGTTTCAGGGTTTAACTTTATTGTTTATTTAATTATTTGTTCAAATTTGTTCTATAATTACTATTTCTGTGTGGTAAGTAGAGAGGAGACGAATATATGCGTGTTGATTTTGTAGGTCATAAGTCGCCGCGGTGTGCAGGTCCTCAGGCCAGCCACGCTCTGCTATCGGAAAGACATTTTAATACTTTTAAGAGCCTCCTTAATGGCATTTTTATGGTCGAAGGAATCGGGGAAAATAGCCCCTTTAACACAGGTTAACAAAGCCCCTTGCTACATGTTTGTTGCCGGCGGCTCTGTTAGGCCAGCCGGGCGGTGAGGCTGTGTCACGATGAGGTTTATCAACAGCACGGCACTGATTACAATAAAAGGGCCCAGGCGGACGCAAGCTGATTTTCTTAAAGAGCAGCCGAAGCGCTCTAGCTTAAGGGGATTTGTTTTTTATCTTCAGGAAATAAGGGACGAGGGGAGAGGGAGGAGGGGGGTAGGGGTGATGGTGGCTAGGGATGAAGGGAGGGGGATGAGGGGTAGGGTGGGGGAGAGGAGGAGGGGTAGAGGTGGGGGAGAGGGAGGAGGAGTAGGGATGGGGAAGAGGGAGAGGGGATAGGGGTGTAGGAAGGGGGACTAAGGAAAGGATGAAGAGGGGATAGGGGAAGGGGAGGGTGTGATTCCTAAATGATGAGAAAAAATCGGGGACGAGATGGAGGAGGTATGAAGATGAGAAACCTGTTTATTGCAAGTGGAAGGAGCAGGAGGAGGAGGGACGAAAGGAAAGATGAATATAGAAAAAGGAAGATAAAAGGAGAAAATGAAACAGAAAAAAATGAGTAAAAGCAACATAAAAGGAAGGGAAGGAAACAAGAGAGATATGAAATTTAGAAAAATGGGATAAAAGGAGAAAGAAAACTCGGGTAAAAAGAGGAAGGAAATATAAGAGAGAAGGAGGCGAAAAAAGAAGAAGAATATAGGGGGGAAAGAAGATAAAGAGGGAAAAGAAATTTTGAAAGTGTGTGAAAGTAACAAATCGTGAATCAGCGTTTTCAGCTCAAGGATGTTTGTATTTCTTTTTTTTTCTTTATTTTTTAACTTTCTATTGTCTTTTGAAGTATTCTTGTTTTATATTTTTTCTTCATATTGTTTATTCACGTTTTACAGTTACTTCATTGAACTTTGAAGTGTGTTGTTCAAATTTACTGGGAGTATTTATTCATGATTTTTATTTCTTTTTATCGCCTTGTTCAAAGATTCGCCCCCGTCGATTCGGGCATTCGAGAGTCCCGAGAAAGACAAACAAGTGCCGAGGTTCCAATGCCCCGCAGGTGTCGGCGCGTCGGGGTTGTACCTGTCGGGATGCTCAGGTAGGAGGACGGTTTAGTGTCTAATTAGCTGATAATCGGCCGGATAGTCAGGGACGGCAGGGGGCGAGCGGATCAGGTGAAGGACGGGCTTGTAAGGTCAGGTGCGATCTCGTCTTGTTTGGTTCGATTTGCTTTGGAAGTGTGTGATTTGATTTTGTTTTTATTTTATTTTTTATTTGTTTTTTTTTTGGGGGGGGGCGACGACGAAGGCTATACTTGTGGAATGAACGCCTGCTGTGGTAGCGTTAAGGTTCATAATTCGTAAAGATTATGAATAGATGGATAAATGAATCAATAAATGTAATATATATACATATATATACATATATATACATAATATATATATATATATATATATATATATAATATATTATATGTGTGTGTGTGTGTGTGTGTGTGTGTGTGTGTGTGTGTGTGTGTGTGTGTGTGTGTGTGTGCGTGTGTGTGTGTGTGTGTGTGTGTGTGTGTGTGTGTGTGTGTGTGTGTGTGTGTGTGTGTGTGTGTGTATGAGTATGTGTGTATGTGTGGGTGTATATATATATATAATATATATATATATATATATATATATATATATATATATGTATATATATGTATATATATATATATATATGTATATGTATATATATATATGTATATGTATATATATATATGTATATGTATATAATATATATATATATATATATATATATATATATATATATGTAATATATAATGGAGGTTCTACTTGATTCCGAGGTGCAGTGCGTGTGCTTGTTGATATAGTGTTCGGTTGCTCGTCTGTGTGACATCGCATCTCAGCCGCTTAACTGCCTTGCCCTTTTGTGTGGCCAGAGGGAACGAGATCCCCATTCTTAAATTTCCAGAAGGATCCTGAAAGCTTACGTTCGCCGGGGCCTTTGGTGGGGAAAAGCTTAGGAACATAAATCGCGCCAGAGGAGGAGACGCTATAGTTTCGTCCCCTAACATTTCACGGGACCGGGCGCCCTGCCGCCGACCGCTCGCAGGCTCCCGCGGTCGGAGTTGGGGGGGCTTTTTGGTCTCTTGCGGGCTGGGTGTCTGGCGGAGGCTGCGGGGGAATCGCCTGTGGGGAAGCGGCGGCCGGATGGGGAGGAAATTCGGTGAAATGAGAGGGGTGATCTCTTTCTCTCTCTCTTTCTCTCTTTCTCTTCTTCTCTTTCTCTTTCTCTTTCTTCTCTCTTTCTCTCTCTCCTCTCCTTTCTCTCTCTCTCTCTCTCTCTCTCCTCTCTCTCTCTCTCTCTCTCTCTCTCTCTCTCTCTCTCTCTCCTCTCTTCTCTCTCTCTCTCTCTCTCTCTCTCTCCCTCCTCCCTCTCCCTCTCCCTCTCCCTCTCCCTCTCCCTCTCCCTCCTTCCTCTCCCTTCTTCCCTCTCCTCTCCCTCTCCCTCTCCCTTCTTCCTCCCCTCTCCTCTCCCTTCCCCTCCCCTCTCCTCTCCTCCTTCCCTCTCCTCTCTCCCTCTCCTCTCCTTCTCCTCCTTTCCCTCTCCTCTCCCTCCTTCCCTCTCCTCTCCCTCCTTCCCTCTCCCTCTCCCTCCTTCCTCTCCTCTCACTCCCTCCCTCTCCTGTCTCTCCCCCTCTCTCTCCTCTCTCCCTCTCTCTCCTCTCTCCTTCTCTCTCCTCTCTCCTCTCTCCTTCTCTCTCCTCTCTCCTCTCTCCTTCTCTCTCCCCCTCTCTCTCCTTCTCTCACACACTCACATACACGCATATTCTCAGTTTCTCATGTTTCCTTTCGTCCCTTGTTTTCATTTCATTCTCCCCTTTTCTTTCGGATCTACTTTCTTGAATATGTGATATTTACAGAGAGAGGGGGGAGAAAGGAGAGAGACAAGGGTGACAAGGAAAGGAGAGAAAGAAGAGAGAAGAAAAAGGAGAAAGAGAAGATATATAAAAGAGAGGAGAAAGAGAAGAGATGTGAAAGAGAGGAGAGAGGGGAGGGAAGAAGAGAAAGGAGAAAGAAAAGACAGAGAGAAAGCGGGAGAGAAGGAATGAATGAATAAATGAAAAAAGAGAAAGAACCTTGAAATACCCACCTCTTCGTCAACGATACCCGACACAGTCCCAGCGTGCATAGAGGCCAAGATGCGTAAAAGTGGGCGGCGGGGTAGGCGGGCGAAGCAGGCTCAGCAAGATGGGATATCAAGTCACAACTGTATAAATAAATCAAGATGGAAATGACGTCGACCGGCAGCGCACCCGGCGACCCGCTCCAGCACGCCCACAGCCGCCCCTCAGCCGGATCTTTTGGTCTTGGCGGCAGTACTGTCTCTGCCAAGGGGGGTGCGGGCGTACATTTGCTTCATTTGTTTATTTGTTTTAGTTGGATCGTTGGTTAGACTGGTTATTGTTTGTTGTTATAGTTATTATTATTGTTATTATTATTATTATTATTATTATTATTATTATTATTATTATTATTGTTATTATTATTATTATGTTGTGTATATATGTGTGGGTGTGTGCGTGTGCGCGTGTATGTGAGTCATCCTGTGTGTGTTCCTTCGCACGTCATACCCTTCATCCGCTCTTGATACTTGACACTTCATACCTTCAACGTCTACTGCGCTTTTCATTTTCTTTTTTCATATTTGCTTTTTCACATCCTCCTTTTCCCTTCCTTCCTCCTTTTTTCACCTGTTCTCCCTTCTATATTTCCTTACCTTTCATTCATTCTCGTCATCGTCTAACCCCTCCACAACCTTCGTGTCCTCCTCCTCCTCCTCCTCCTTCCTCCTCCCTCCTCCTCCTCCTCCTCCTCCTCCTCCTCCTCCTCCTCCTCCTCCTCCTCCTCCTCCTCCTCCTCCTCCACCTCCTCCTTTTCCTTCGACGCCCATCCTTGATTGTGAACACGTCCCGCAACATAGTTTATTATGTCTGAACGCATTGTGGGGCAAGGCATCTGCCCTTTTGTTATCTCGTCAGCGTGACAGTTTGATTGTGCTGTCATGTCATCGGGAGTGGGATGCCGTCTTTATTATTTTACGGGCTGCAAAATGTGACGTTTTGTACAGAAGAAGGAGAGAGAGGGGGAAGGGGGAATGGAAAGGACGAGAAGGAGAGGTGACGGGTGAGAGGGAGAGTGCAAGAGGGAGGAGGAGAAGGAGAGAGAGGGGGTAAGAGGAAGAAGGAGAGGGGGTAAGAGGGAGAAGGAGGAGATGGAAAGAGTGAGATGGAGAAGGGGATGGATGAGGGAGAGAGTGAAAGGGAGAAGGAGAGGCTGAGAGGGAGAAGGAGGTTTCTTCTATTCTCTTTTTTAATTTTCCTCTCTCCGTCCTTCCCTTTCTATATCCCCCTCACTCCCTTATTCCCATCCCCCTCCTCTCATACCTCCTCTCTCTCTCTCTCTTTATTGCCTTTATGTCCTCCCCTCCCCCTGACTCCACAGAATAGCTAAACACCCCCCTTTTTAACCCTTTACCCAGAACACCCCATTAAGTTCTCAAAGCATTAACATGTCTTGTGTCGTTTCAGTGATCAGCGTGGACGGGGCGACCTCCGGGGGTGAGTGTAGCGACGCCGGTGCCAGCACCCCACGCACAGGTTAGTATTTTGTTTGTTTGTTGGTTTGTTTGCTTTATACGTTTTGACTCGTTGTTTTTTTGCGTGTGTTATCTTCTGTCTTCTCTTTGCTTGGATATGTCTTTGGCTGGCTGCCTGTTCTCTGTGCTTTGTACCGTTTGTGCTTGGTAGAGATGTTTTGCAATTTTCCTCTTTTTTTTGTACCGGTTATGAATTTTTAATCCCAGTGGTTGTGTTGTGCCGATGTGTTATTTCGTGTTGTTATTGGTGTTTTCCCCCTCACTTTCTTATATTTATTTTGCTCTGTTGCCGTTGCGTGAGGAGAGAGTTGGTGCCTGTGTTTGATTTTGTAATATGTTTAGTTTTTGGACTTTTTGGGGGAATATTATTTTCTAGATTTGGTTCGTGATCTCCGATAAAAGGGCAATATTTCAGTGCATTAACCTTGATTGTATCCATTTTTATCATTGCAAAGCTCGCGAGTTAAGCCTGGCTGTCTCTTCCCTGTGGTCATAATCTACTTAAAAACCTGTTCATCGATCGCCCGCTGTGGTTCCTCGTATTTTTAGACCGATAGGAGATAGGAGTTATCTGACAGCACCTTTAACGATAATGGCATCCTCCGTAGAGCGGCCGGAGCCACGCCCAGGGAACCACACTATCACGTCACGCCTTTGTGAACCAATCAGAGGAGAGTCGCTGCGTTCAGACTCCGGCGATGAGAGCTGCGATTTTTTTTTTTTTTGGATTTTTATTGTATTCATTTATCGGTTGATTTATTTTGTTTTATTATTATATTGTATTATTTTTCTCTGTTTTTTGCGAACGTAGGTGTGCATTGTGCGTCGATGACAAAATAATCGTGAAGGATTTTGCGTAGTTCTCGGCCTCCCGTGGGATTATGAAGCGGTGTTCCAGGGTCTCCTTCATCGATTCCATATGACCCACGGTATCCTTTCGGGAGCATATTGTGTCGTCAGCACGGCAGTCGAAGGAAGGAGGGGGGGGGGAGAAGGAACTAGGGTGTGGTGCCTATTTTCTTCTGGCGTGGTGCCTAGCTGTCGCCCCCCCCCCCCACCGCCCCCGCCATACCTTTAAATCACTGCTGTTATTTCAATCACACTTCTATCCCACAGTTTTAAACTATTACTGTAAGGGTTTCCAAACTCCTACTCCACCTTTTAAATCACCATAGGTATGCGCCAACTTTTAAGTTACTAATGTCATGCCCTCACACTGCCATATCTCGTACGCTACTACTTTTATCCCCCACACATCCGAATCCTACCTTTTAAACTACTACTATTATGTCCCCACAACCCGCCCCACCACTTAAACTACTACTGATATGCCCCATAAACCCACCCCCACATTTTAGGTTACTAACATAATCCCGCACCCCAACCCACCCACATTTTAGATTACTATAATTATACCCACACCCCACCCCACCCGACGTTTAAATTTACTACCGTTCCATTGCTCTGAATGAACGGCGATTCTCACTAATGACGTTCCTCTCGCAAGGATCGTCAGCTGGAGAATTAACCGTGCCTTCGTTGCTAGGGGCATGGCACTTGAATGCCAACTCGCTGTGACCACGCATACCTCGGGTGCCTCGCCTTTTTTTCTTTCTTTTTTACGCCCATTCATTCGAGCCGCGGCGTTAGTCCTAAGGCGCCCATATGGCCCCTGACGTCATCGAGGTGAGGGCGGACGGATGTGCCCGGGATTTTGGTGTCCGTTTTGGTGAGTGTGGCCTCGCTTTGTCCCTCGCGTCCGTCGGTCGTGCCAAGGACGGATATTTTAGTTTGGAGCGTGGTCGGCCTGGCTATGGCTAGGACCTTGCCCCCGAGTGATAGGAAAATCCCCTTGGTCCTTATTGCTAAGTGGATCATTATTGCTCGGTGGTGGGTCGAGCCACGCGAGCCATAACCTTATCTACGACAAGGGGACCGGTAGTTGTTAGGCCACGCCGGTAGTCTGCGCAAAAAAAGGAACACGCGGGATGGGCTTCAGACCTATGTAGGTTAATCCAATATTTGAAGCTCTCCTTGACTGCAAAGTCAGGCGCGTCACGAGACGTTGTAAGAGCTGAGGCCAACTAAGACGCGATAGCATTTTTTTTTTTTTTTTTTTTTTTTTTTTTTTTTTTTTTTTTTTTTTGCCAAAGTCAGCAAGGACACTCACTGCAAAAGGAAACTTTACTCATTTTTAACGAGGTGAAGATGCACATGGAAGGTTGGTAATGAGTGGCTTACGTGCAACATGTCCGGATAACATTTTTGTGTGCCAGTCAGTTAACACCCAATTTCGATCATTTTTTAGCTTCAGCCTGTCAATTGACAAATAGATATAACCACCAATTTGCTGATTATGAAGCAATTAGCATCACCAACCTGATGATTATTAAGCAGTTAGCATCACCAACCTGATGATTATGAAGCAATTA